CATACACATACACATACACATACACATACACATACACATACACATACACATACACATACACATACACATACACATACACATACACACACATACACACACATACACATACACACATACACACACATACACACATACACACATACACACATACACACATACACACATACACACATACACACAGACACACACATACATACACACACACATACATACATACATACATACATACATACATACACACATACACACATACATACATACATACATACACACATACATACATACATACATACATACACACATACATACACACACATACATACACATACATACACATACATACACATACATACACATACATACACATACATACATACATACATACATACACACACATACACACATACACACACTTTTTTTTCTGGGGGGGGGACGCCAGGAGAAAAAAAAAGGCAGAGAGGTAGGAGGAGGGGGAGAGAGAGGAGGAGGAGGAGGAGGAGGAGGAGGAGGAGGAGGCGGAGGAGGAGGAGGAGGACGACACAGAGCAGAGTTTGCACAGAAACAGTCGCGAACTCAGCGCGAAAGCCTCGCGCGCGCGCTTTGGAACCACAGGGACTCCACAATCCCCCGTTCTCGAGGAGGAGGAGGAGGAGGAGGAGGCGGAGGAGGCGGAGGAGGAGGAGGAGGAGAATAAGGAGGAGGAGAATGAGGAGGAGGAGGAGGCGGAGGAGGCGGAGGAGGAGGAGGAGGAGAATGAGGAGGAGGAGGAGGAGGAGGAGGCGGAGGAGGCGGAGGAGGAGGAGGAGGAGGATGGGTAGTGAGCTTCGCTTCCTCCCCGGGAGGTTCCGGGCGCCCCCCGGAGGCCTCCCGAGGCCCCACATACGGTCGGAGGACAAAATTCTGCGTCCACAGCGCTCCGACGACAGAGAACCGATTTGCCCTCCCCTCCACCCCCTGGCCTTCATGTTGGAATGCATTGCGATCGAGATCTTGGGTTCAGGTTTTCCTCCAGCCGCTCGTCTCCGGGACCACCTACTTACTACTAAGGTCGAGGGGTGCGGGGGGGGTTGTTCGAAGTGGTCCCCCAACTTTTGACGCAAAGTTGTTTCCTTCAACGGTAGGCCCCCAAACGGTGTGATGCACAGACAACCTCCCGAAGGTGTTTCACAACTTTGCTCGTCGATCCTCGAGGGTAGTGGGCAAGACTCAGCACCGAGGGTAGGAGGATACGAAGGACATCACCTCCAGGGCGCATCCTGGCAAGTTCTTCGAGCCCGTTGCATCAACATCCCAAAGCCTTCAAAACGACGCTGGCGGATGATGCTGATGATGATGCTGATGGTGATGATGATGATGACGATTATGATGAAGACGAGGATGATGATGACGATGATGATGATGGTGGTGGTGGTGGCGATGATGGGGATGCTGCCGATGATGGTGATGCTGATGGTGATGATGATGCTGCTGATGATGATGGTGATGAGGATGATGCTGATGCTGATGCTGCTGCTTATGGTGATGATGGTGGTGATTACAGCGACGATGATGATGACGACGATGATGATGATGAGGATGACGATGATGACGATGATGAGGATGAGGATGCGGATGATAATGATTTAGCTGATTATGATGATGGTGGTGGTGATTCTGATGATGATGATAACGATGGTGACGATGCTGTTGATGATGAGGATGCTGATTGTGCTAATGATGATGATGGCGATGATGATGATGATGATGATGATGATGATGATGATGATGATGGTGATGATGATGATGATGATGCTGATGATGATGATTAGGATGATGAGGATGATAGTGATGGTGATGCTGATGATGACGATGGTGATGGTGATGGTCATGATGATGATGTTGCTGATGGTGATGATGAGGATGATACTGAAGCTGATGCTGATGATGATGATGATGATGATGGTGGAGGTGATGACGGCGACGGTGATGATGATGGTGATGATGCGACGATGATGATGATGAGGAGGATGACGAGGATGACGATGATGATGGTGGTGATGATGAATATGATGATGATGCCGATGCTGATGATAAGGATGATGATTATGATGATGTTGTTGGTGATGGTGATGCTGATGATGATGACCATGCTGATGGTTGTCGTGATGGTGTTGGTGCTGATGATGCTGATGACGGTTGTGATGGTGCTGTTGATGATACTAATGATGATGCTGATCATCATCATCATGATCATTATGCTGATTTCGATGATGATGATGTTGATGTCGATGATGATGAGGCTGATGGTGATGATGATGGTGACGATGATGGTGGTGGTGGTGGTTGCGTTGATAATGATCATGATGACGCTGAAGACGCTGCTGATGCTGCTGCTGCTGATGATGATGATGCTGCTGCTGCTGATGATGATGATGATGATGATGGGGATGATGATGCTAATGATGATGCTGATGATGACGGTGATGGTGATGGGGATGATGATGCTGCTGCTGCTGATGATGATGACGATGATGATGATGATGATGATGATGATGATGATGATGATGATGATGATGATTATGATTCTTATTATTATTACTACTACTATTATTATTATTATTTATATTTTTTATCATTATTATTATTATGGTGCTGATGCTGATGCTGCTGCGGCTGAGGATGAGGATGATGATGCTGGGTTTGATGGCGGCTACGGAGGAGGAGGAGGGAGAAGAGGAGTGGGAGGAGCGATGCGGCGGCGGAGGAGGAGAGGAGGAGAAGGAGGAGGAGAAGGAGCAGGAGCAGGAGGAGGAGCAGCAGGAGGAGGAAGAAGAGGAAGAGGAGGAGGAGCAGGAGCAGGAGGAGGAGGAGGAGGAGGAGGAGGAGGAGGAGGAGGAGGAGGAGGAGGTGGAGGAAGGAGGAGGAGAGGAGGAGAAGGAGGAGGAGGAGGGATGGGGGAGAAGGAAGGGAAGGAGGACGGTGAATAAGTGGAGGTGAGTCTCGAGGAGGAGGAGGAGGAGATTGAGCATGTGGAGGAGCTGGCCGTGTGCACCCTATGGCTTGATCGCGGAGGAGGGGGATCAGAAGCAGGAGGAGGCGCAGGACGTTTGAGGAGGAGGAGGCGGAGGAGGAGGGGGGAGGAGGAGGAGGAGGAGGAGGAGGAGGAGGAGGAGGAGGAGGAGGAGGAGGAGACGAAGGTCATTACCTCTGGGAACTCCTTCGAGACGCATCGCATGCAGAGGGAGGTGCAGCAGCTCCACGCTGGGCAGTCCGAGGTCAGCGCGGTGCTGGAAAACATCCTGCTGCGCGTGGACCCCGACGCGCTGTCCCGCATGAAGCAGGATCGCCTTCAGACCCGGGCGTCGAAAATGCAGCAGGCCCCGCCCCCAGATCCGGGCGTCGGGCAGAGGTGGCGTGATACAGATAGGGCGTAGCCTCCAATGAGCGAAGGCGTTTGACTCTGCTCCGTGGCGAGAGTGGACGCAAGGGCGACATGAGCCAGAGGAATCAAGAAGGGGGCGGCGCTTCGGGAGAGGGGACGCAAGGACGACATAAGCCAGGGGAAGCAAGCAGGGGATGGGGCTTCGCCCGCGCAAGCAGACGATGCGCTCCCAAGAGGTGTCCACATGTTTGTGTGCCGGCTTTCCGAAGCGCCGCCCCGAAGAGGTGTCGGGCGCTCTTTCGCCGCGGTCGCCCTCTCAGGGCCGTGCCCCACACCCAGTGCCGTCAGGAGACGACCCAGGAGGAAGACCTGCCGATCATGGGAGGGAGGCGGGATCCCTCGGGGCCAGCGTCACGAACACAGGAAGAGGTCGGCGGAGGGATCTCGGGGGACGCCAAGCAGCCACTCGCTCCGCTCAACCCCCTCCTCCAAGCTTGCTTGTCATTCCCCCCTCCTCCCCCCCTCCTCCCTCTCCCCTCCTCCTCCGGCCCCCTCCTTTCTGAATACGTTTATGAATGCGTAAGTCCTCCCTGCTGCACCGCCGAGTGTGTCCGTTGGCTGGCCTGGGCGTTTCGTCTGTGCCTCCTCACATGCTGCACCGCCGACGCTCACAAGCAGCAGCCGCTGCACGAATAGAGGCCCGGTCCTTCTCAAAACGGGCCTCTTGCCCGAGCGAGCACGGGTCCGCCTCGCAGGCTCGCGCCCCCCTCGCACCTACAGCTCGGGCCCCCTCGTGCCCGCCTCCCTGCGCGAGGGCCCCCTTGGCTGCGCCTCTCTGGCTCTGCCCTTTCTCGGCTCCCCGCCGCCCCTGGCGCGCCGACGGGCCCGCAGGCCCTCGCGGCCCTGCTGCCTGCGGCGCCCCTCCGCCGCTGGCGGGCCCCCCCCCCGGCTGCTCTGCCAGAGGAGCCCAGGGTGCCCCTGCCGCTGCCCTTCCCCTCGCTTTCCCCTGCTGGGGCCCCCTGGGAGGCCCTCGCCGCCACCGCTGGACTGATTCGCCTCGAGGCCCTGGTCAGAGCGCGCCCCGGGACAGGTCCGGGGCGTCGCGGTATCGGTGCCTTCTGGTCTCCCCAGCTTGGTGCTCTTCCGCAGGTTCCTGCTGGCCCCGGCACCTGCTCGCCTCCGGCGCGTGACCCCCCTGCCGGTTGGGCTTCGGGTCGGTCTTGGCCTCCGTGTCGCTCCACGCCGCTGCTCACTCGCCCCCCTCGCCATCCAGTCCCGGATGGCTTGTCGCTTACGGCACCGCCGCCGCACCGCAGCCTGCGTCATCACCTGGTCTTTTACACCCGGATGGCCGACGGCGGGCGGCTGCTGCCAGACCCTGAGCGGCCCTGAGGGCTCGGGCGCCTCTAGACGCGCGCGCGCGGCGGCTGTTCTGCGACTCTCTCCGCCCTGTCGCTGCGCGCAGGTCCGCGACGCCAAGAAAGTGTGTGTGTGTGTGTGTGTGTCTGCTGCGCGGACGCCTCCTCTGCGCCGGTTTCCTCCTATGGCCGCCTGGCATCGCCTTCCAGTTGACACAGCGCTTTTGTCCTCGTCCTGCCGTTTCTCTCGTCCTCGCCGGTCCCTCTGGTGGCGCTTTGCCTCGCCTTGCGTGTTCACGTGCTGTCGCCACTGGCCTGTCGGCATCTTCCTCTCGTCTCCCCCCCTTTGCCGCCCATACCCAGGTGTGCGCGTGGCGTGGTCGATCCCCTCGTGTGGATCCGTGTCCCACCTTCTGAGGGGCCGGCCGCTCGCGTCTGTTGCCCTGCTCTCTGTCTCTCTCTCTCTCTCTCTCTCTCGGACTTCTACGCCTCGACGCTGCCACGAGGCCTCGGCGCCTAAAAGTGCGTGTGTGTATGTGTGTATGTGTGTATGTGTGTACATGTGTGTACATGTGTGTACATGTGTGTGTGTGTGTGTGTGTGTGTGTGTGTGCGTGCGTGCGTGCGTGTGTGTGTGTGTGTGTGTGCGTGCGTGCGTGCGTGCGTGTGTGTGTGTGTGTGTGTGTGTGTGTGTGTGTTCGTTTCCCCGATCGCTCGCCGCTGGAACAGCTCTATTGCCTCGCCGCCGACGAGAAGTGTGTGTGTGTGTGTGCGCGCGTGTGAGTGTTTGTGCTGGCGGCTATGGCCCGGACACGTTTGTGGCCGAGTGCTTGGGCTTGCCGTTGCCCTCGTGGGACTTTGGTAGGGTCCTCTGGGAGCCCTCTGGGGTTCGCTTGGAGCTCTTTCGGGGCTTGCTCGGGGCCTTTTGGGGCCATGTTGGCGTACTTTCGGGGTTTGTGGAATCGTTTTGGAGATCTTGGTGCCGCGTGGGGGGGTTTGGGAGCAGTCATGGCGCAGTCATTGGGCGGGTTTGGGCCATCATGGAGCCATTGGGGCGTCGTTTTGGGATCCAGACATGAGCCATCTGGACAACAAAAATCGCAATCACAGGGGCATCTTGGGATGTCTGGGGACCTTTTGGATGTCTCTTGGACCTTCTTGGATGCGTGAGGAGGTAATAAGGCGAGACAACAAACAAACAGTGAACAACAAATTGTATTCAAATATGTTGAGAAACTTTTTGGGATATTTGGGATCTCTCTTGGGGACTTTTGTGCTGTCTTGGGTCTTGGCGTCTCTTAGTGCTTCTTGAGTTGTTGTTGAATCCTATGTGTCGTGTTGGAGCCCCTCTTGAGACGTCATGCAAGGCATCTCTGGCTTCCTGTAGGGGTCGGAGGCTGGATCTTGAAGCTCTGAGGGCCTAGAAGGTGTGTTGACGAGCTCGTGCCCTCTGGCCCCCCCTCCCCCATGCAAGATTCTGGGCTCCCAGGGCGAAGAAAGGGGGAGGGAGCGGGCCACCCCTCTCAAACGACCATTCACCCTCGGGCAAGCGGGGGATCGGCGAATCGCCCTGATGATGGGGTCGTTTGGATGTTGCTGTGTGCGGATAGTGGGGTGAGAACTCTTCCGTCTGAGTGGCCTTTTCTCCCCCCCTCCAAGGACGCCTCGTCTGTCCTCTCCCCGCTCTTGTACGCTGGCCAATTCGCTTCTCGGTGCCCTCGTTTAGCTCTTTCGCTGGTGCAGCCAACTCTGCCTCGCCGCCGACGAAAAGTGCGGATAGTGGCCGCCGCTGCATTCACCCTGCTCCACGCGTCCAGACTGCGCGTGCACGGCAGCCTTCAAGATGGATGCGAGGAGTCTGAGACACACGACTGGTTGCATCCAGCCGGTTTTTTCAGTGACGATCTCAAGCAGCAACCTTGTGATCTCGTCGTCTGTGATGTCGTTCTCCCCAGCTCATGTTCCCCCGAATTCTCCTAGTTGCTCCGCCCCAAATCATTGATCCATGATCTTCAGGCCATCCTGGGACGCTTGTCGCGGTTCATCCTCTCAGCGCGTGCCCCGTCGTTTCCTGGCTGGCGCCGCCGTCGTGAGGCTTTTTGCTCGTGCTTGTCATGGCGCCAACTTCGCAGAGTGGATGTCCTTCGGAAAACAATAGGATGGGCCCGGAATGTCCTGGAACGTATCGTTCCGGATTTCGAAGTGAATTTCGTGCGGATTTTTTGTGGCCAGGAGTGAGGACAGCAAACAATTCACGTGACATCCACCTCGTTGTTCGTGCGCCGTTCCGGGGTTTTGCATGGACAGAAATCCACGCAACAAATCCGCTGCAGCGCTGCAGCACGTCTGGACGTTGAACGCCTCACTAAACTTTGACGTTTGCCCCTGGTAATAGGATATACGAAATGACCTTAAATTTCTTAGCAGACAGGGAAGCGGAGTTGCAGAGAAGTGCCCTGGGGAAAAGTATCCCTGGCAACAACCAGGCCACCCGTCCCAGTCACTAACCGACATCATCTACCATGACACGATATTTTTCTAATTCGCTCTATCCATTACAGATGCAGAGGTATGGTGGGCGGGGTATTTTGCATACAGTACAGCATACGTACAATTTGAGACGGGTCACGGTCAGCGGGGGGAAGTGGGTCCAGCTGATCAGGTTCAACGACGGCCCAGGTGCGCAGTGTTGCGCATTAGCGAGTCTTCTCGGAGTGCGTAACACGGGGGGCCGCCCATGGCCATCACGGGCAGCAGCCAGCTATGGCCCTGCGGGCGTTGCAACAAGGGGTTCGGGTACTACAAGATGATCGAGAACAACAGGGATCACACGCGAAATCAGCCTGGTCATAAACAAATCAAGGAGGCAAAGACAGTCAATAGAAGAGGGTGTGCATCGACTTTGAGCTAGAGCTGAGGCAGGAGGAGTGGGACGAATGGAGTGATGAAGAAAGGACGCTACATGGAGGAGGGCAGTATCTTTCGAGAGCGCAGGCCTGCCGAGAAAAGAAGAGGAAAACAAAAGGAATCGCGTGGGCAGCCCAATCCTTGGGACAGATCAAAGCAGCGCAAGCGCTCCTGACGGAAGGAGAAGGCCCAAAGAAAAAACCTCGCAATGTAAGGAGCAAGTTGGCCCTGGAGAAGTCAAAGGAGATGGCAAATGTGATGCTGGAGGGCATCGAAATGAATGGAGGCATCTTTGCAGCCTTCAGCAAAGCATGAGAAAGCATGACAGAGGCTGTGCGATGCGCCGGGGAATACGACATCCTGCTCAACAAATACATGGTCATGAACATCAATGGCGAAGACGCACTAAAGGCCGCAACATAGAGTTGGAGGAACAAGAGAAATAGTTGCACGAGATGGGCGACTACAAGACGGCGGAGACTATGGGAGAAAAAACTAGCCGGCGTACCTGAAGGCGCTGGACTTCGTGGACAAGCGGAGCGACCGCATGCAGCTGTTCAACGTATGCAGGAGGAACACAGGAGTGGTGGGAAGGCTCCAGCGCCCACTCGAGGGTGGACAAGTGGCCATTCTGGTGCAAGGTGGACTGGGCGCAGCTCGTCAAGGCGCAGGAGGGCTACCCAGAAGATGAGCT